CTAGTATGTAAATATGGTCAATACATACCATTGAATACTTTTACTTAGATTCTAAGTAATCTTAGATTCTAAGTAAAAGTAAAATAATTTTTAATATGTATTCATACATATGTAACAGAATTTAAAGTGGTTTAAAGATGCATGCTTTAATCCAATGAGATATTGATTCCATAAAATCTATTTATTGATCAACAAATGAATCAATTCTTAATTGTGGTTATGATATGTTTCATTAATCTACTAAATAAATATCTGGACTTTTTATAATCCTCTTTGCTTAATTGTGAATTGCTGTAAAGTTTCATATTTTTCTCAAACTAGGAAATGTTTGCGATATAATCACTTAGAACTTTAACACTGAGTGGTTAAACATGGACAAAATCAATTTCTTCATTAATTACCTTTAGCATTCTAATGGAAACCTGCTAAAGTATTTTTCTTACCAAGTTGGCAGAGTTTCAGACTCTCAGAGTTTCAGAGTGTCTTGAGACAACTTCTTAGCTGACAATTTCTTTGCGAGAAACAACACACATGTAGCAGATGGAGGAAAACTCATGGGTAGTTAGAAATAGTACTTCCCAACCATCTCGAAAATAATTTCATTGAAGTGTGATGAAAAAATTAAATTTGAGTTAATTTAATAGATTAGTATATATTTCTTTAATGCCATTTAAATCCCTAGCAGAAGAAGTAAAGTGTGGCAATGTGAATAAAAGCCTAGACTGTTTTATACGCATTTTTATTATTCTGTTTGACAGGTTATATATAAGCTTAATATTGCTTGATATGATTGTGAAGTAATTTAGTTTGAAAATTTGGTATCTTATAAATGTTTCAATAGGATTAGGGATCTGTCCTCGTTTCTAGACACCTCTGGAGATCATATAACTCTGCTTTAAAATGCATCAATTATTTTCTAAATGAAAGAAAAATAACATTTAATTGCATTAATGAAACAAAGTATCTTACATTAATTTTTTCATGCATGGTGGCCTATATGAAAATAAATTACCGCTGTTAAACTGACATTCTGTTGATATTGCATGTTTGTAAAAAAATATTTTTAGTCCTAGTAACTGTTGTTTCCATGTGTTACAGGGTATTTTCATTAAAGAAAAATTGTACGTTAGTTATATGCAGAACTTTATAAACATTTTACTAAGAATCCTGATATGGCAGGTTGTTTTTTATTTAATAAATACTGTGTGTTAGATTCATATTGCTACTGACTGTGAGCTCCTTTGTCAGTTGTAATGAAAAGATGGGAGAATGACTGAAATATTGCCTACCATAAGGATGTTTTGGCTCTACCTTATAGAAATGATGAATTCTAACAGGGACATTTCACAAAGTAATTTTCAAACACAATCGTGCTAAAGCAAGGGTTTCAACAAATCATATTTTTGGTTTTTTTCTGTGAAATTTAAAAAAAAAAAAAAGTGGGACAGTTTTTACCATTTCTGTACATGTTCTTAATGTGGAAAATTTCAGAAGGGACACGCTCAGTAGAGTCAGAAGAAGTATGGAAACAACCAAAATTTTTAGTTGGAAGAGAAGACCTCCAGAGGGAACAAATCCAAATTGACTAGAATCCTTTAGCTTGCAAAAAGAAGCCCCTGAGGAAGAATGTGATGATCAGATAGAGTCTGTAGTTCCTGGAAGGGTGCATAGAAGAGCAAATAAGGAACTAACATTTACTAGGTTTCACAAAATGGGCATTAGGACTATCCACTGGAACTGTCAAGAAGCAGTTTTAGAACAGCAAGGAAAACCTGTGTAGACAAAACTACAGTGTGGAACCCGTGCTTAATGATTTTACAAATCAGAAGCATGGATTAGTTGAAAACCATTTAGCTGTAAGAAGCTGACAGAATATTCATGCAAAGACTGTATTTGCCTTGTATTAGTCCAGTCTTTGTCAGTGTTCCTGGTGAGATATTAAAGGATTCTTCATTCTGGCCTCTCATGTCTGGTCTGCATCTTTCTGTGATGTTTGTCTGAAAACATTTAGTAACTCCTTCCTCCTGCCATTCAAAACAAGCAAAAAGTACATTCATGGATTTTTTTTTAACATTCTTATGTGTCCAGGAGGTTTTGTCATTTTTGGAGTTGGGTCAGCATCTGCCATCTTTGTGTTAATCTGTGCATGTCATGTGATGATGTTAAGACAAAAAAAGACCCCAAAAATAGAGTTGAGAAGGACTGTTAAGGACTGCAGTTACCAGATTCATGAGGAATATTGGTTAACTTGATAAAAAATAATACTTTTTGATCATGTTGTTTTGTGGGTTTTAGGACAAACTGTTTAACTAATGTTATCATTTTCACCTGCATAAAGCCATTGAAAATGGGCTCTAAATGCAGCTAATTTCCAATGGCCACATGCATCTGTTTGCACTCCCTTTTTTCCATGGGTAAATGCTACCACATGGCCAAGAGAAGAAAATCACCTAACAAAGAAGCTCCTTTTGTAGAAATATATCATAATGGTGACAGTGAAAAACTTTCTGAAAACTCATTTTTGGAGTAATGAGAAGCTTTATGAAAAGTTTCTAATAGTCAAACTAGAAATTACTGATAATTTTAAAGTTTCCAGCATATTGTTTCTGTGTAACCTAATGAAAGCAATGTGTTCTAGAAAGCCAAATACTTTCTGATCTTGAAAGAAACTAATGAATAGCTGTACAGATATATATTTAAAGAAGAAATAAAAACATTGGTAACATATGTAATGAGCTTGTATTTTAAGTGTTCAGAATCAGGGTATGATTTCATATTGGTGGTGTGTACTGATATCAAATTTAGTCCTGTGTATCTACTTTTTCTTTGCTGATTTCTGTGATGATAAAAACTGTAGCAACCTCAGTGTTACTTTACTTTTTACAAACTATTTTTTACTGCGTTTATCCTTGCTTCATTCTTGTTCTTTCACTTACACAGTGAAATGGTTTCAAATCTATTTTTTATCAACTACTTGTCCAGCATTTGGTACAGAAGCATCTTTTTACCCTAGTTAATTAAGGGGACTGTAAACAAAAAGATGTACAATTCAAAGCCAAGCAGTGTTTCACACAAGGATGGAGGTGATAATAGCTTAATTTCTGCTTGATCTTTCCTGTCTTTGCCCTGGCTACTTCGGCTTGACCTTGCCCACAATCTGATGACCTCCTCATTGCACTCAGCCATTTGGAAAGCTGCTCATGCCATAGCAGGCCCTGAGGGGCTATCTGGGAGACCACTGAGCCATTGACCCATGTCAGGACTGCGTTTCAGATCTGATCTGCTGAGCTTCTGGTGTGGCTGCATCCTCCACCCACGGCAGACAAAGCCGCTGGAGCAGTCTGATTTTTTTTTCCAACTTCTCAAGTGGCCTGCAGCTTGCACTTGCTGTATGGAAGACCAATTTTACACCACTCATTTGCTATGAAATACACTTCCTGAAGCAATTACTTGTATTGATTCTTTCTTTACAAAGGAAGTAAATTCTCTCATTTAGTGGCTCAATTTTTCTAAATCCATCAAATTGCCAGGTTTATTGGGTGTATTTAAGTCTCAACATCAAGTTCCACAAAAAACAAACAAACAAAGAAAGAAACAACCTATCTTTTAAATATAGGGCAGAAAGATGTGTATTATGTCTTTATGGACTTTTTCTATTAAGTATTATACCTGGACATTGCATATATTTTTATAGAAATGTGCAATTAAGGTTCTAATCTTATTAACTTAGATAAATATATAAATATTTATAAATAATAAATATTATGTAAATAAATATATGTATTACCTACTGCATATTTTATAAAATGCATGACAGCTTAGGAAGTTGCAGGTCTGTTTGAAAAACAAGGAAACAATCCACTTATTTAGGAGAAAATCATTATGGGCTTGAGCATAATTTTCCTTCTTAGCACGTTATGTTCAGTTTTGCACTAGAATGTATAATTTTCTGCTTAATAAAATTTTTGTTTAGCCATTACTATTATTTTGTTTTTCTGAGAAGACTTAGGAATCACAATTCCTCTCCTGTTTTTCCTCAGCCATGGTTGCTGTGCCAGCAAAGGTGCCAGAGCAGGCCAGCCAGGGAGGTGTTAATGCTGAGTTCCAGTCTTGTTCAGCACAGGTCTGGAACATCAAAAACATCACTTGTTTACAGCAGTGATGATCTTGACGAGGAAGTTAGTGCAGACCTCGTAACCATGTGAAATCCCTGCCTTTTTTTTTGTCTTGTGTATGAAATGTTGTGTCATTCTTCCCTGTCATTTACAGACTGGACACATAATTGAGTAAATTAATTTTATGTGAAAGAAAAATACTGACTCAATTCAGCTTTGGATTTTTTTTTTTTTTTTTTTTTTTTTTTTTTTTTTTTTTTTTTTTTTTTTTTTTTTTATTTTAGAATTTACAAAAAAGGTTATTTCTGGGCACTGAACAATCTTAGGTAATAGCCTAAACCTTAGGTTCTTTGACCCTTTACATTAGAGAGAATAAGAATATAACTGGGTTTCATACCTTTGTAATTACTATCTATGGTGCTAGTTTCAATCCAGCTGTAGACTGCCTTTTATGCATCAGCACTTTAAAACGTGTATTGTACTAAAATGTGGAAGAATCAGTTTTCAACAACTTTTTACTGTCATTGATTGTCTGTACCTTTCCACTAAATGTTATCTGTACCATGTGGTGTTCATTACTTTGGTTTCTCTGTGGGTAATATGCAACCAAAACCAATGTTCTGACGTTTCTGGTTTATAGCTGTTGTGTCTTAGTTCTTTGTCATGTTAAAAGCATGCTAAGGAGACATCATATCTACAGGTTTAAATTTCAGAAAATGCAAAAGGGGGATTCCTCCCTTCTAGGGAAGGAGGGGGATGTCTGTTGGGAGAATTTTGTACATTCTCCTAGCTTAATTCCATCCTAATAATTTATTTTTTTTAACGTGACACAGTGCATCCTCTGACAGAATTTATAACATGGCATTGTTTTTCATTTATCTACAGGAATTGATTCCTGAATTTTATTACCTCCCAGAGATATTTGTCAACAGCAACAATTACAATCTGGGAGTGATGGATGATGGAACAGTGGTGTCTGATGTTGAACTTCCACCGTGGGCCAAAACCCCAGAAGAATTTGTTCGCATAAACAGGCTGGTAAGATGGCTCTCTTCTATTGCCCAGTCACTTCTGTCTTGCAAGATTCTTCTGAAATAATTTGGATTTTTGCCCACAATATATATTTATAATTTCCATAGAACTATGTCTGAAATTATCTGAAGATACAGATTTACAAAAGTAGACAAAAAAAAGAATATAGTATTCTCATTCTTAGATTTATTCAAAAAAGTTTGAGTGTAGTCTAAATATGCAGGAGATGTTACCCTATTTCTATGTCATCTCTTGTGATTCTAAAGAACTAATAAAATCACCACTCAAGGCTTTACAGAAGGCTTGAAAAAGCTTGTTTAGTCATAAAAGTATTTGTCACTCTGATGACTTAAATGTGATCTTGAGGTTTCTTAGTTTTAGTGCCCATATAACTCCCAAGAGACATTTTCAGTCTTCTGCCACCTTGTCCATTTTTTCCATTAAACTGATATTTTTCAGAGCCTTTTTTACAAGAAAATAAAACTAAATTCTCCTTTGCCTGCTTCATTCCCAAACCTGTGTTACTGCTCTCTTCCCTGTTTTGGGAAATGCAGTTGTCAGCACTGCCTATGTTCACTGTGCCCTCTGGGCAGTGCAATGAATTATAGAATAACTGTCACTGGTGGTGTTTCAGCACATTCTCAAAAGCTGTGTTAGGCTCTTCTCAAAATGAAACAGTTCTGCATTGATGGCATTCTGAAATAAATAACAGAAGCTTTTCCTAGCAAATCTTGAAATATGAGGCTGCAGTTTCCATGTGGTAGCCAGCTAACTGGGCGATACTGAATCAAGGCATGTAAACTCTCAAAAACCTTTCAGATACCAGGCTTATCAGGATAACATCCTGATACTCCTAAGTCGGGAAATGGGAATCAAAGAAGTTTTGTTGTTGGTGGCACGTCAGACTGCATAACATTGGAGAATCCTCACATCAGAAGAAATCTGTCGTTCAGAAGTTAATTAGAATGTTTTACACTGCGCTTTTACTGGTGACGTGATACCATGGTTTTCAGAAATGCTGTGTGGCCTAGATTCCTGAAGGAAATAATAGATGCATCATAGTAATCACAGAGAATATTGGGTGGATTTAGTGTTTCCCTTCATCCATATGTATGTGCAAATTTTATTTAAACGAGATATGAAATGCAGTAACATTTAGCAGGACTACTTGGCAAACCATATTGAAACTCAGCTTTTGATCTCACAGCTGTGATGATAGGTGATAGGTAGGGGAAGTAGCCTGACACATCTGTGAGCTTGGCATGTGCTGGTTCTTCAGAGTAACCTGGGAAATGCAAAGCTGTGTTCTTGAGTAGACTTGTCAAAGGCACATAGTGGCCTTGATCTCTCACAACTCTGCTGTTTTTCCTTTTGCGTTAAAATATACCTTTATTCTATTAGTTGCAGATTGTGCTTGCCCCCACTGTGAAGTTATTCTCAATCTCCCACTTCCTTCTTGTCTAAGATGTTAGCTCTTAATTTTTTTTTCTCATTTCAAGCCTTGGGCCAGGTTTTTCTCACCTTAACCTCTCTACCTGCTCTGACTTACCATTCCTTCATTCTTCCTTCATTTCCCAATCTGCTGCTTGTGTCTGCCTTTCTTGCAGCTCTCTTTGATATCTCTCACTTGTGTAATATTCTCAACGTGAACTTCTATAGTTTTAAAGTATTAATTGTACAGAAAAAAACTTGATTCTTTTTTTAAGGCTTAAGTGAATTACAAAAGTAAGAAATAATTTATAAAGTGTTGTTATTAAAGTGTGCCAGACATTATCCAAATGCTGTCCAGTATTACCTAAAGGGTAGGACCTACAGCTGTAGGTCCCTGATACTGTTCCTGCAAATAAGATACCAAGTATTGGTTGGTCTGGTAGCATTAAATTTAAACCTCTGTGCCAATGAATTACATTGAAATACATTGAATGAATTACATTGAAGTACATATGGTGAATTACTGCATCTGTCTGACATAGTTAAACTTATCCTGGTGGTGGTGGGCCTGGCTGGTGTGGATGATGCACTCTGTGATCTGCCACTTTTGCAGTGGAATAACACCGAAAAAATTACATGCAAATATAAAATTGCTTTTCCTTGTTAATATTTGGATTGAATACCATGAAATCAGCAGTTTCTTTTTCAAGTGGAATAGTCGTGTTTAGGAACAATGCTTAAAGCTCAGATGCACACTAATGTGATCAAGAAAAGCTTGCTACAGTGTGGCATGGGCTGATGTATTCAGCTGATATTTCCTTGCTGCCTCCTGGTTCAGGCAAAATAGGGATTACAGTATGCCAAGTGCTCATTTTGAAAGCTATGACACACAGATATTTTTTTTCCCTTTGCATTTGAGTTTACCTCTTTAAGTCCCCAGATCTTATACAATGATTGGAGCTCATGAAATGCATACTACTTTGATCTGTGACCTTTTTGTGGTGCTAATCGGGTTCCTGATATCATTATACCTTGCTCATTAATCATATTTCCTGCAGCCCGTCAGGCAGCCAGACAGCCCAAGCCCCTGTTTTGCAGCCTTGTGTTGGCAGGTTTCTGTTTTTCCAGATTATTACAGTGTCATACTTTGGCTTCTCATAACCAGACCCACATCAAGCTGTGTGCTACAATTAAAGTCAGATGGTCCTCAGGTTGAGCAGGGATATTCTGTTGCAGCTGTCTGTCTTTCTGGAACAGAGCAGCACAGGGAACAGATGATATGTAGGACAGTGCATAATAACAGCTTGTACAGTACTGGGTCAATAGCAGGGGTTCAGATCATTAATTGACAGGCTGATAGCTGATTTAAAAGTGATTACCAACCTATTTTTAATTCTATAAAGTGTGTGTGTTAATTGAAATAGGTTGTTGTATTTCATCTGCATTTGCTCCGAGAGGAAAAGCAGAATGGTGTATAATTAAAACTGGATTTTGATTGATGGAATGTCATCATGAGCTAAATGGTAGCATCAAGATGTCATTCTAAGCAATACAAAGAACTCCAAAGTGCATCTGTTGCTTCTGCATATAGCTGGTACTTTCTATTAGGCAGTGATAGTACAATGTTTTATAATAGCACAAATCATTGGGGAGGGGAGGTAGGGTATTTTTCTCTGAGACAGTCCAGATTTTGATGGAAAAGTGACTGTATTTTTGCCATTCTGAAACCCTATTATACACCTCTAAAGCTCAGGCATACTATGTTTAGTGCCATGAAATAACTGCTAAGACATCTGAAAATATTTTTCAGGTTACACAGGTGCAGTTAACAATAATTGTATGATTGTCTAAATCATCATTTGTGATGATCATTACCATCATCACAAGTCATCGTCATGTGAAAATCTAAATCATCATTTTATAAACACAATACATGTGTAATAAGAATTATAGTATTATCTTAATAAGAGTGAAAAACCCACAGGCTTTTAAACAAGATAAAATTATAATTCCTCCCCCCAACAAAAAAGAAAAATCTCAAATGCAACATGCTGTGTCCTCCTTACTTTACTATTTCCAAACTTTAGGCATTTAGTATCCTAATCTTTAGGATATCTTTAGGCATTTAGTATGTGAGCAAAGAGGAGGATACAAATCTGATTTTATTTAATTTATTTTATTTATTTTATTAGGTATCATCCAATATATAATAAAAAATACCGAACAACTTTTGGTTTTCCCATGCTTCTGAGAGACCTATAGGAAGTAGGAATGGAAAGTGAACTTGGGAGAATATACAGAGATAGATGCTCAGATGTGGTTTGGATATAGAAATCCCAAACAAAACCTTTAGCAGCAGTTGTCAGACACAGAAACAGACATAACCTTTAAAACTTAGGTTTTTGTGACATCTTTTTTTGGTTTCACATCTTAGTTATGTTAGGTGCTCTCCTTTTGAACAGTTTTCTATTTTAAAAATTTAATTTCATGTGTAGGACCTAGGGATAATTACTGCATTCAAGCTGATAGAAATTTTATACTGCCGTTGTATCATTCATGAAAAAGCAGACATTCATAGAGACCAGGTGAAACCCAGGGAAAAACCCTATGCTTCCCACAGCTAAAAATCCAAATAAGGAAGTTCTGTTCTGCATGGTAAAGTAATCTATTTTGTCCTGTCATTGAAAGCTAGATGTCTGAATTGGGAAGAATTAATTTCAAACTATTAATCAGCAGATAATAACTAAATTTCACACAGCTTTGATGAGCCTCAGCTTTTTGAGAATTAGATTGCTTGGATGATCATGAAGTCATTGAGGTCTGTCAAGACAGCTTTCCACAATATATCTCAATTTAAGTATTTTAGTGCTTTAATGCAGAGTTAGTCTTCTCATGATTAAGGGTTTATCCATTTCATTCAATGCTGGGGAAAATGCAAGACAAATTAGAAAAGTGATGAGATTACTGTGCTGGACTGAAAGTTTTGAAATCCAATTTTCAAATAATTGAAAATGTAGTGTTTGGAAGCTGGGATGCTTTCTGAAACAAATGAAATGCTTAAATATATAAAGATGCTATACACAAAAGTAACCGTGGCAGAAAAACAAAATAGAGAAGAAGGGTAGGGCAGTCATTTACCCCAATACAAATTTTAGTGGAGCACAATGAATCAGTGTTAAGAACCATCTGAGGTAAAAAAAATCTCCAGTGAGAATTAGAGAATCATTATCAGCCGATATGGGGCATTACTTTTTAGTACAGGCAACTCCACCTTATACCAGCCAACACTAAAAAAGAACATCCCCTGCCAGCTAACACACAACAGTGCTCAGAACTGCAGGTTGTGAGTTGGGTGAAAAAACGAAACCTGGTTTGGAAAACATTATGCTACTTTCAGTCTCTTAAACCAATTCCTATTAGTCAAATATAGATACTGAGTTAAAGCCTGTAACTTGGAACATACAGGATTTTTTTGTGTTATCTTGGAGAAATCTCTCTGTGGGATCTTTCTTGGTTCCACAGCTGTATCTTTGAAACTGTTACAGCAAATCACACCGTAATGTGACATGAACTAT